AAACTTTAGCCACAGCAACGCGTGACCGGGTCTGGTAGTATTAATAAAATATTAGAAACTTACCTACTTACTTAAATGGCAGAAATTTTCAACATATCATTATCAATATGTTTGTCTCATTCGTACACATTCAAAATTATGTATGATGAATGCTACTACTCTTACTACAGAATTTTAAATTTCAAAACAAACAGTTGGATATACATATGTAGATATGCAGTAGTAAAACAGGTGAAACTTTACAAATGTAGTTGTGAATTGGTTACCCCCGTTTTGCAGGGATGTACTTGTACAAACGTTGACATTTGATACTGCTAATTAGAACAATGCCTATTCTTTCTTAAAAAACAAACTATATCAAATCTCTTTAGATAAAGATCTTTACAAATTAAATATTGATTTCGCTATTTCGCGACGACGACGAAGTACACATCAAAAATTTTTCAGATTTATTTAGAAAGAAAGTTAATCTCAAGATTTGTACGCTTAAGATTTCCAACATTCTTGTTAGCTGTTCATTATTTTTCTTTCTTCTTTACTGGCATAGACACCGCTTACGCGCTTATAGCCGAGTTAACAACAGCGCGCCAGTCGTTTCTCCTTTTCACAACTTCTGCATACGGYGTCCAGTAAGATTCCCAGTCTTACAGCATGTATGTCAATAGGGCAGTGGCCCATCGAGAGCCCCACAACTAATGAGAGGCTAGCCTTACTGATGGCAAATAGATCACTAGATCCTCTGTGATCAGCAGGAGTACCGACCCGTTCCCATTCTACCGATAACAATTCTAGAATGCCTTTCCTTGCTATCTCACCCAAATACTCTTCGACCAAACCTGAACGCACTGTAAATGAGTTCAAGGCTAGTATCGGTGCTCGGTAATCTGAGTGAATGGTCACTTATCTGAAAGTGGACACTCTCTGGGGCAGCAATTATGCTGCTACCTTGATGGCTGCAACCTCAGACTGGAAGACAATGCACGCTTTGACCCATCCGTAAAGAAGCTTACTGCCCGTCTTCTCCAACGGCTTCTTCCCACCCATAAGTCTCTCGACTACCTTGATGGCTGCAACCTCAGACTGGAAGACAATGCACGCTTTGACCCATCCGTAAAGAAGCTTACTGCCCGTCTTCTCCAACGACTTCTTCCCACCCATAAGTCTCTCGACGGTATATGGACAGAGAAGAAGCCGCAGGAGTTCGATATGGCGACTCCATGATCCAGATGAACCAGTATGCAATCAAAGTTTGTGAGTGTTCATATACACGTTCTTTAAGAAACCCAGATTCCCTRAGCCTGATAGCCACCTTGGCGGCAATATACCTTTCGGCGATGTCCAGGGGTGTTATGTTCAAAATTAGATTAAGTGCCATGGTTGGGGTGGACTTTAATTCACCGAACATGCTGATAACCGCATCCCGTTGAACGAACCTTACAAGTGTGGTCTTCTGYAAAGCCCTTCACCACATAAAGACTCCACAGAACATTATGGGTTTGACTATGTTGTCATAGAGCAAAAGGACACCTTGGGTGAGAGGCTCCACCTCTTGCCGATAGATCTATGTTTGGCTTCTAGGAAAACTTCTTATCCAGGACGAGCCCGAAATATTTCACTGCATCCGCCGGTTGCAGGTGAATAACTCCCACTTGCGGCAATGGTACCACTGGGATCTTATATCTTCTACTGAACAAAACCATTTCTGTTTTATTTGGGTTGATAGCGAGTCCACTTCCGACCGCCCATTTTGTTACAACTCTGAAATATCCCTACTTCACTCATACACGGTGTTAAGAAACTTTTCTTTGACCATAAGTGCTACATCGTCTGCACAGGCAATCACCCGACAGCTAAGATCCTCGAGTTTTTTTTTTTTTAGAAGTTCGTTAAGGACTAGGATCCATAGAAGAGAAGAAAGAACCCCACCCTGGGGGTTCCCCTACTCACATTTCGCCGCACGAGCTAGTTAAGAAACGTATTCCTTATAATAGTAATAAACATTAAAACAACCTTTTGTTTCAGTAAACAGAATGCAAACAGCCTTGAGTTGGAACAATTAAATTGCACTATCACTACAACAAATAATCATAAATAAACAAAGCAAACAATATATATGTAAACAAAAATACACAAATAATATAATCCGTATATAAACAAACTATAAACTATGTAGTAAAAAATAAACATACTTCTTCTTTACTGGCGTAGCCACCACTTACGCTATTATAGCAGAATTAACAACAGCGCACCAGTCGTTTCTTCTTTTCGCTACGTGGCGCCAATTTTATATTCCAAGCGAAGCCAGGTACTTCTCCTCTTGGTCCTTCCAACGGAGTTTAGGTCTTCCTCTTCCTCTGCTTCCCCCGGCGAGTAATGCGAGGAATACTTTCAGAGCTGGAGTGTTTTCATGACCTAGCCAGTATAGCCGCTGTCYTTTAATTCGCTGAACTATGTCAATGTCGTCGTATATCTCGTACAGCTCAACGTTCCATCGAATGCGATATTCACCGATCTTCTAGAAATGAATGAATATAAGAACCCCAAAAGAAACAAGTAGAAATCTTAAGAGTTTTCGATACGAAACTGTTTAGGTTGTTTAGACAATTTTGCGTAAAACAAACCGCGTACTTGTTATTCAAGAGCAATTTTCGAGATTTAGCGTTATTTGGTTATATCCATATCAGTTTCTCATAGCTCAGGTAAAATTAGGATGGCTAACGTCATCAGCTCCTTGCAAAGTTAAATAAATTTTATAAATTGAATAAAACAAAACCAAAGTTCTTTGAATTTTGTAAAACATACAAATTATTAATTGTTTGTAGAATAACTATTTATGGAAAATGGAGGATTTTTAATGACCAATAAGCCTACCAAATTACACTGGCCAAAACTGTTAGAGAATCTACAGAAATTCATAGTTAACTTAGTTTATTAAGTATTATCGCTTAAAGAAGATGGCCCAAAAGGTAATTTGTCGGATGTGATCCGTTTTTTTTTTTTTTTTTTTTTTTTTTTTTTTTTTTGTTTTGCATATGTAGAATGTATTAAGATGTACTATTGAATAACAAATCAAAAATTATCTCATGTCAAAAAAATAAAAAATAAAAAGTATGAGCGATCCCGTGAATTGACATTTTTTGCGGCAGTCAACTTCATGGTTAGGCATTTTATCTGAAACGAAAAAGGTAAATTTTTTAAAGTCAGGAAGCTTTTATCAAGTGGATAATAGAGGGGTTTTGAGAATTTCGAAAAATTGGGGATGTAGGCATGGACTTTGAAAAAGTGTCCTTTTTACCTGTGTCTTTCGACAACAAAATAGTTAAACAACTGTCAAATGTCGGATAAAAAAAGGTACTTTTGAAGAATCGAACCTCAAAGTTTTGGTACCTTTACAACCGCTGCATGAAGTGCAGTGGGTCTGGCGCCTATTTCTTCGAAAATTTGCAGAGCAAACCAATGATACTTCGGGACTTTTTTTTTTAACGTATCTCAATTGATTAGAGCACTTCTTGTTTTTAATTTTTTGAAAATTATAGAGGATTTTCCTACTGAAGTAACGATGAAAAAATACAAGCGAAAAGGGACTTCTTTCAGAAATACGGATTTCCAAACGCGATTTTGTGTGTAGACGGAACACATATTAAAATCGTTGCTCCAACCAAATAAAAGTTTTTCTATTATAACCGCAAAGGATACTTTAGTATCAATGGCATGATTGTAAGTTTGTTGACAAAATCACATTGCACACAAGAAATCAGATCAGAGAAACTATATGTGGAACACTTATACGAATATAATAGCCTAAATAAATATTAACACAAAATATGTATACAGTTTTAATTAAGTATTTATGAAATTAATTATTTTTTGACATTGCTTGTAATTTTTTTCTTCCACTTCAATCATTTTCTGTTCAGTTRAACTCTTAGCAGAAATCAAATTCTGTTTAATCGTCACATACCTAAGGAAAGATCGTCCAACTTATCGAGAACTTTTTTTTTKAAATTCCTATTGARGTAAAAGTTGTTCTTTTACCAATTCGGCTGTGCATGTATCGGACGGTCTAGGAGTACGTCTTGGCAGTGTTGGACTGCAGRCCACTGATGGCCTCGATACGTCGACCTCGGTCTCACATACTCACTGTGTTCTCAATTAAATTTGTACTCATTTCTTATGCATTTAGTTTTATCAGAGACTGCTCAAACCAGCTTTAAATTATACTGTTACAACAATARAAATGACATCTTTGATAAATTTACCTTCTTCCACCCGGAAATTTCTTTGATAGACGGACCAACACTGTTCAGTTCCTGGGTCATATTTTTCCAAAAAACTGCTGCCTTTTCTTTATAGCACTGTAACAGCTCAATGATTAGTGCGTATTGCTGCTTGGTGCTAATTACTTTAGACCTGCGGAAAACGTATTATAGATTGTTTTACTCGTAACAAATAGTTTGAATTCAGTAAAAATTTGTATTTTTTTTTTTGTTTTTTATTTTATTTCTTTGCTAGCCAAAACTGGTCGTATAAAAATTCCGGGAACCTTCAAAATTATATGTTCCGAGTGTATTCAATGAATGCCACTCTACGAATGTCGAACTCACGTTCGAAATCGTTCGAATTGTGTATAGCGGATTGGAAGATATGTACATTAAACCCTTTAGTGGACAGGACCACGTCCAGTTTTTAAAACGTGTTTACCCACATCTGTCGCTGGATAACTGAGATCTCCTGCACTTAATTTAATGCTTAGTTATGCCGTTTGATAGATTTTCGTTTAATGGTATTTTGTAGGCGTGGCGATGGTCTGGGGTGCCAAAGAATAAGTGTATCAAGTTTCATCAAGATATCTCAATTTTTATTCAAGTGAGGGATAAAAAGCTCCAGCTGGTGTGTTAAAAAATTACGATTCTCAACCCAAAATTTTGTAAATTGTAYTAAAATATTGTTTTACGAAGTGTAAACCCAGTATAATAACAAATAATTTAATTATTTAGGAATAACAATCAAAGTTTAAAGTTGTACTTAAAGCAAAGCGAATTCATCAAACTAATAACGACTGTCAACATGTGTGTGCATAGTCCACTGAATACCAATTATTTCACTTTATCGTTTGATATTTTCTGGTTTAGGTTACGCAGTGTGAGATATTGTGACAAAAATGTACGCGAATAAGTACTTAGTGTGGGCGGTTTTGCATGAAGTTCTATTTTTTATATATCCTACTGTCGCAGTTGAACGGCAAATAAGGTAATTGTACATTTTAAAAGAAAAAAGGCTGCGATTATTAAGATCATGTTAAATATATAAAACAAATAAGTTAAGTAAATGTAAAAACCGAATACAACTTTACAATATGTTCGTTTTACGAGATCTTCATAATAAAATAAGTTTCTTACTATAATACATAATGTGTATTTCTTTAATATGTATAGAAGATATGTATATCCTACAGAAATGTTCGGAATTAAAACAAAAGGAATAGGTTTTATACACTTACATATGTATGTATATGTACCACTCGAATGTACATGTACGTATGATGTAAGCCTGACTGACTGCAAAACAATTCAAGTGATTACAATACACATTTTAAATAAGTATAGCTACATCTATATAGATCGTGATATGTCTATGTTGTGTGTTGTATATACGAGATCTTAACAGTGTACTACGTACTACGATATAAAACTACTCTGAACATTTCATATAAATCGGTCGTGTTCTTTCGGTTCCCGAAGTACTCGTATTGATTCAAATATTCAAGTTAAATAATTTATTTGGAAAGAAAGTGAGGAGAATAATACAATATGGTCTACTATAGAGGAAATTTTCAAAACTGAGCACATACATATGTATGTTGGACAAACTGCATAACGCTGCTCTCTAAAGAATATTTCGACATTTATAAAGTAAAGCGCAAAAATATTTTATCTTATATATAAAAATGAATCGCAAAATGTGTTGGTAAGCGCATGACTCAACAACGCATGGACCAATTTGGCCAATTTTTTTTCTAAATGTTCGCTGAGGCTCAAAGATGGTTTTTACGGCGAAAGAATTCGTATAATTGCCGGAAGACGCCTAAAAACAGACCTTTTATTTTTCCCATACAAACGAACGAGTGTTWGTTAGTAACGCTAAGAGAACGGCTTCACCAATCTTGATGAAATTTTCAGAGGTTGTTCGCTGTGGATCGGGGAAGGTTTAGAAATAACAAAAATCTAATGCTTTTTGTGTGGAAAAGTCGGAAAATAAGAGAATTCCAAAAATTAACTTTTTTTCATACAAAATTTTTCTTTCAATTTTTTTGTTTTGGCTTTTATATATTTAAATCGTTCACATTTGTAATTTGCTTTCTTTATTCTGGCTTTAAAAAAAAACATAATATTGAAAATTATTCAGTGAAAATGTTTTGTGTGTTTCAAAATCAATTACAGATTGAAATTTTTTACGATCCTCTTCGTGGTCCCGCTAATATCGGTCGGCGTTCTTTTTGCCATCAACGTGTGGGAGCAAAAGGCACATGACCGAGCACTCCCAAGATGCGATGACATACATGAGCGATCGTCACGATGTCACAGCACGACTTTTGAAATAACAGTTGCGATATTATATATGGTGCTGTTAGATTCTAGATGTACTCTATTGAGTGGCAAAAGGGAGGTTTGCCGCGCGCACACATTCTTCTTTGGATGGGGGCTATACCAGATCAAATTTATGAAATCATTTCTGCGGAAATTCCTGATGCAGAGAAAGATCCAATATTATTCGAAGTTTCGAAAACTAATATTATTCATGGACCTTCCGGACACCACAATCCCACTTCGGTTGTACGTCTAAAACTAAATGCACGAAATACTATCCACTTGCTTTAATTTCAGAAACACAAACTAGATATCATGGATATCCACTAGGGTGATTAAAAAAAAATTTTTTTTTTTCGTTTGGTACTCTGAAAAGTAGGTTCCTAGACACCTCTAAGGAAGCCTCTCCAAGAATGAGTTCTTAATTATAACGGGAAGGTCCTCCTACTTACAGTTTCTATTTTTTCTTGCTATCATATACATATAAAGCCAGATATCCAACTACGTGAAAAAATATCTTGTTCCTTAGAATTTGTAGGAAATTGAATGCTCTACAAGGTCTGCACGATTTTTTCGTAAACTCAACCGTTTAAAAGATATTAACAGTTAAAGTTTGATTATTTGCGGAAAAATTTTTTATTTCTTATGTGTATGTATGAATTTTATAACTCAATAAAGTAAAATCATTATGAATGATGAAACTCATAGTTTTGTAGGAAATTTACTGCTCTATAAAAATGGTCTCATATGATTTTTCGATTAAGTTAAGCGTTTACGAGATATTCATCGTCAAACATCAAAGCATATTAGGGTGAATAAAAAAAAAAAATTTCGTTTGGTACTCTGAAAAATAGGTTCCTAGGTACTTCTCAGAAAGACTCTCCAAAAACCTAGTTCATTATTCTTAGCCCAAAGGTTTAACATGCGTAGTGTTCCTTCCATAATGACTCACTGTTGAAGGAAGCATGTATGATGTTTTTACCCCTCTAGCGGTTATTTGGAGTAGTATTTCGTTCACCGCTACAACCCATAGTAGCGGGGAGAGTACCCCTTCTTGAGGAATTTCTCTGCTCACATAGCTTGTTTGTGTTGCAGCGCCGTTTGATCTTCATTTTCTTAAGCATCGATTGTATCCATCTGCACACTATGTCGTTTAAGCCACCATGTGTCAGAGAATTAATGWTTKTAATGTTTGTAACTAAATTTTCGAGTAAAAGTTATTTAAGATGTATTTTGCTAAGTTAGAGGGCCTGTACTTAATCACTATTGTAAAATATGAGCGCGATCTGTCACCCAGTTTGTTTACAGCAGCTGCTTAAGTCGGCACACCTGTGTAGTTCGTTGCATTTTTTACAATAGATAAAAATATCGAAAAAAGAATTTGTCTCAAATTTTGTATTTCTAACCAAGTATCGTGAGCTGAGTCGCTGCGAATGTTGGAAAAGGCTTACAGTGATTCAGTTTTACACAAGCCTATGAGTGCTACAAAGCCTTCAAAAACGGTCGAAAGATCGTTGAAGACATGCCCCGTTCTGGACGACCTTCGACCTCCTCAACTGATGAAAATATTAAAAAAGTAAAAGTATGGTGATTCAGATGGCAAGGGAGTTCAACATCTCTCGCGAGTCCGTTCGAAAGATTTTGGAGGATATTTTGGCTATGAAACGCGTTCTTGTTCGACTCGTCCCGGTAAATCTGTATTTGTTTTAGAAAAAAGTGCTGTTACTGCCCATGAGACATTGTAACAAGTCAACGATCATCGGAATGGAGAAAAAAACGAGCCGAAACCATAAAAATTACGCCAAAGTCGCTCACAAATCAAGGTGATGCTCCAAGCAAAGGTACTTTTCGTACTTATCACATCTTACGGACTTGTTACAGACACCAACTGCTCAAATATTTTATGATAAAACTACTCAAAAGTCACCAAATTTAAAAGACATAAAAYGGTATAGCAAGCGTACCAAAATAGGCCATCGAAAAAGTAGTTTTTATTTGCATTCAAGGGGAAATGCCAAACTGTGCAGGTGTAAGGTGCTCGGATGCAAACTTGTATGCATGATGCAACTAGTTCGAAAAAGAAAACTTATCCTATATTCCAAAATTTAAAGATCGAGGAATCATTACTTTCAAAGCAATTGAGCCAAACTGCGACAAACTTTAATATCACCAAGTGGATTACTGTGATCTCTAAATCCATTGTTTTAATATTTTCGTTTCTTTCATCCTCCGATAAAAGAAAAGATAAAATGGTTTTGCTTTTGTAAGCTTTAATCGAATTGCTTTGTTATACGTTTAATTCTCTTTTTGTACATTTTTAATAGAAATTGTACATTTTTGCTATCTAACTCGTCATAATCATAAAATAAAGCATAAAATCATCAATGCAAAGTGTCAGAACTTACTGCATTACCGAAAAAGCCCTTATTTAAAGCTGGGATGTGTGCTGGGTAAAAATACGCATACTTTATGATGACCTGGAAACAATTGGGGTACTCACAACGTGTCATAAAACATCGTAAAATCATAAAATCATAAATTTAAAAATGTTTCGTTGGATTGCATACTAAAATACGTTTACGTATATACAACTCTGACCGCTATGTGTCCGGATTGTTATAACTTATAACTTTAAGAGACTATGTGAAACCCTTAAATATCTGGGCGTCGAGTAAATATCCAACCATCCAGCAATCTTCCAGTCCAGATAATTCTTATTATCATTAGAGATTAATGAAGCAGAAGTGAGATTTGAGATAGTTCTTTTGCGCTCAAAATATAGAATGTACACACTGAGTGCTCTGACAATTGTTCAAAATATTGAAAGAACAAAAGAAATTTAAAGAGACCTCACAACAGCTCAAGCGCGCATGCTTGAAGTTCAAAACTGATGGTTTTAAACATGATTCCATTATATTATATAAGGATGGATATCATGGATTTTTTGTTTATATTTGGAAATTTTTAATGATTTGTAATCTATTCGTATTCAATTATCACTCAAAAATATATTTCATTGGTTAAAATCTTTGAAAATTTTATTTTTGAATCATAAAATGAAAACCAAACTAGCTGATTTTAAAATATATTTAATTAATTACTTTTGACAATTTGTTATTTTGGGCTACTGACATAAGATTGCCTAAAAACTTAAATATGAAGAATAAAAGAATTTCAAATAGCAAAAACTAATGCTGGAAAAAGAAGAAAAAATTTTTATTATGAGAAGTTATTGTATACTAAAATACTTATATGTACTATGCACACATAGAGAATTTAAATTTATTTTAAAAAATAAAAAAATAATCAACTGAATTTTCTTTTCAATCGTATATATTTTTTGCAGTTACTGACAACTCGTCAATTTTGTGGTTTTCTCATTTCGTTTTCATTTTTTATTTGGAGCTGTCTTCCTATTAAACTCCTTTACGCAGTTCAAAACAGTGTACAATTCTAATTTTATAGCCACTGAATATTATGTCTGAAGCTAATTGAGCCAATTCTCTCTCTAAGTAATGTTGTAACAGTGATAGTATATATAAGCGCTATCAACTGCAATMCATTCACCTCCTCCAAAATTTTTTTCTGTTTCATTTGACAATTCGCCAATTACTAAAAATACAGTGAACCACAAAAAAGGAAAAAAAACATTTTTTTATAATG